TGCATCTTGTAGTTCACTATATAATTCTAACCATATTTTATCTTGATTAAATCTCAAATAGTTAAGGCGCATTTGTTCTACTGTAGCATACATATCAACAATCTATTGCTGGAAAAGATATTTGAATCGATATAAAACTATTGGTTCATTTGGTCAATCTAGATGAAGATGATAGGCAAAGTAATTCATAGCACTAATATATTTTCTTGTGCTACTTACTTCTTCATCATCATTAAATAAAAAAGATTCGATATCTACAGATTGTTGTGTGGATAAAGAAAAAGGAGTTAGGGTTGTAGGAATATAAGAATACTAGCCGTCTTCATCTCTGAGATATATAAGAATGTAATGTAATGGTTAATAAGCACGATATAATTCTAAAATTCTTTGCAATCCTCCATCATGCAAATGCAATATAATATTATATTGTATTATTTTAACATTTTGTCCATCTTCAATCATAATGGCAGCAACTTCTAAAGCAGTAGAAGTATTGTAATGTCTAAGATCTTCTTTTCTACTGTTCATAATTACTATCTGCAAGTTCAAGGAAGGATTTACGTATAGCATATAGTCAGCTTGTTTGAATATGTTGCAATAAGGATTCAAATTATGTAGCATTTGTTGAAGTTCTTCAAGAATAATAGGATCAAGACCAGACATTACATTCATTCTATTTCGTAATTTATACTTAGTATCATAAATATATAATTGGGCAAATTCAGAATGATTTTTATTATTAGGAAGTAAGTTACTGATACTATAATACAATTCACCGTGAACGTGAAAGCTGTAAACACCACTCGTACCGGTTATGCTTGAATCAATATTAGCATCTAGAGATATAAATGATAATACAGAATTATATATTCTAATATTCTGTCTAAATACGCGAGCCTTTTGATTTGTGCTTATAAGAAGCATATGTAGAGGAGGAGATAGTTCCTGAAGAGAAAGAAGAAAAACCTTGCCTCCAGCATAGCAAGTTGTAAAAACTGGTAATCGAACAAAAAATTTTATTATCCTTTCATCTATCCACAATAGAGTACCACACTTGCAATATCTATATTCCATATTTTCTAATATGTGCCGATTTAACACAACTAAAGACCAAGAATAGATGCGTGCCTTTAATAACGATACTGGAACTCGAACAGGAACTTGAAAAGAAATTTAAACAGGTTCTGGAAGGAAAACTAAGGTTTGCTCGGCAAGACTATATACTTTATTCTCACAAATATTATTAAAATTGGAATTCAATAGAGAAGAGAGTAGAGAATTAGTATCTTCGAAATTTAAACTTACACTATTTTCTGCCTACATAAAATTTGGACTTGTATCAAGAACTTCTCTTCCTTTAACAGTGTATAATGGTGCTGCCGTATCTCTTTCTGCATGTAAATGATGATTAGTAGTAGATGATTTTGCATATAAATGATGGTTAGTAGCAGACGATTCAACTGTATCATTTTTATTGGCAAGGATAAAATTATTTTCTTCAGAGGTAGTTAGCTTTCTTTTTTTATTACTACAGAAATGTTGTTGATGCTCGCATTGAAGTCTTTTTTTGCATTTTGCAGAAGTCATATCCATTGTTTTAATTTTGTGAAAAAAAAAATTATTTATTGTTTTAATTTTGTGAAAAAAAAAATTATCGAATGTTGATTTAATACCAAATAGAAACAGATAAAAAGTCTGCTATCGAATAAAAAAGATATCGCGAAAATTAAGCAAATGCTACAAAAGTATAGATGGTTAGAGTAAAAAATAATTTTATAGTCGTAGAAAATCAACGTGCTAGTAAATTACATCATCATCAATCTTCAGCGTGTTATGAAGTTATACAAACTCAAATAAGTAGAAATTAACGTGATATTAGATAACACAAAGTATTATGATATATACATACAATAAATATTTATTTATATGGGTTAATCTAAACATTACACTTATGTGAAATGACTAATTTTAATATAATAGATTGGTCACTAGTTCATATGTAGATCACAAATTAATTAAAATTATAAAATATCTAATTATTTTGGTTAGAGGTCTAATCTGGTCAAAAAAATTATATTCAAATATTTATTTGTTCAATCTTTTTAATATTCGAATATTCATTGAAAATTTTAAA